TAAATGAAACAGAAACAAAGAAACAACAGCAAAGCTCAATAAAACCAGAAGCTGGTTCTTTGAGAAGATAAACAAAATGGATAAACCATTAGCCAGACTCATCAAGAAAAAGAGAGAGAGGACTCAAATCAATAAAATTAGAAATGAAAAAGGAGAAGTTACGACTCCGCAGAAATACAAAGGATCATGAGAGATTACTACAAGCAACTCTATGCCAATAAAATGGCCAGCCTGGAAGAAAAACCATATGATCATCTCAATAGATGCAGAAAAAGGTTTTGACAAAATTCAACACGCATTTATGATAAAAACTCTCCAGAAAGTGGGCAAAGAGGGAACTTTCATCAACATAATAAAGGCCATATACGACAAACCCACAGCAAACATCATTCTCAATGGTGAAAAACTGAAAGCATTTCCTCTAAGATCAGGAACAAGACAAGGATGTCCACTCTCACCGCTATTATTCAACATAGTTTTGGAAGTCCTAGCCACGGCAATCAGAGAAGAAAAAGAAATAAAAGGAATACAAATCAGAAAAGAAGAAGTAAAGCTGTCACTCTTTGCAGATGACATGATACTATACATAGAGAATCGTAAAAATGCCACCAGAAAACTAGTAGAGCTAATCAATGAATTTGGTAAAGTTGCAGGATACAAAATTAATGCACAGAAATCTCTTGCATTCCTATACACTGATGATGAAAAGTCTGAAAGTGAAATTATGGAACCACTCCGATTTACCATTGCAACAGAAAGAATAAAATACCTAGGCATAAACCTACCTAGGGAGACAAAAGACCTGTATGCAGAAAACTGTAAGACACTGATGAAAGAAATTAAAGATGATACAAACAGATGGAGAGATATACCATGTTCTTGGATTGGAAGAATCAATATTGTGAAAATGACTATACTACCCAAAGCAATCTACAGATTCAATGCAATCCCTATCAAATTACCAATGGCATTTTTTACAGAACTAGAACAAAAAATCTTAAAATTTGTATGGAGACACAAAAGACCCCGAATAGCCAAAGCAGTCTTGAGGGAAAAAAACGGAGCTGGAGGAATCAGACTCCCTGACTTCAGACTATACTACAAAGCTACAGTAATCAAGACAATATGGTACTGGCACAAAAACAGAAATATAGATCAATGGAACAGGATAGAAAGCCCAGAGATAAACCCACGCACCTATGGTCAACTAATCTATGACAAAGGAGGCAAAGATACACAATGGAGAAAAGACAGTCTCTTCAATAAGGGGTGCTGGGAAAATGGGACAGCTACATGTAAAAGAAGGAAATTAGAACACTTCCTAACACCATACACAAAAATAAACTCAAAATGGATTCAAGACCTAAATGTAAGACTGGACACTATAAAACTCTTAGAGGAAAACATAGGAAGAACACTCTTTGACATAAATCACAGCAAGATCTTTTTTGATCCACCTCATAGAGTAATGGAAATAAAAACAAAAATAAACAAATGGGACCTAATGAAACTTCAAAGCTTTTGCACAGCAAAGGAAACCATAAACAAGACGAAAAGACAACCCTCAGAATGGGAGAAAATATTTGCAAATGAATCATCGGACAAAGGATTAATCTCCAAAATATATAAACAGCTCAGGTAGCTCAATATTAAAGAAACAAACAACCCAATCCAAAAATGGGCAGAAGACCTAGACAAACATTTCTCCAGAGAAGACATACAGATGGCCAAGAAGCACATGAAAAGCTGCTCAGCACCACTAATTATTAGAGAAATGCAAATCAAAACTACAACGAGGTATCACCTCACACCAGTCAAAATGGGCATCATCAGAAAACCTACAAACAACCAATGCTGGAGAGGGTTATGGAGAAAAGGGAACCCTCTCGCACTGTTGGTGGGAATGTAAACTGATACATCCACTATGGAGAACAGTATGGAGGTTCCTTAAAAAACTAAAATTGGAATTACCATATGATCCAGCAATCCCACTACTGGGCATATACCCTGAGAAAATCATAATTCAAGAAGACACACGCACCCCAATGTTCACTGCAGCACTGTTTACAATAGCCAGGTCATGGAAGCAACCTAAATGCCCATCGACAGACGAATGGATAAAGAAGTTGTGATACATGTACACAATGGAATATTACTCAGCCATAAAAAGGAAAGAAATTGAATCATTTGTTGAGACGTGGATGGATCTAGAGACTGTCATACAGAGTGAAGTAAGTCAGAAAGAGAAAAACAAATATCGTATATTAACACATGTATGTGGAACCTAGAAAAATGGTACAGATGATCTGGTTTGCAGGGCAGAAGTTGAGACACACATGTAGAGAACAAACGTATGGATACCAAGGGGGTAAAATCGCAGTGGGTTGGGGATGGTGGTGTGCTGAACTGGGCGGTTGGGATTGACATGTATACACTGATGTGTATAAAATTAATGACTCATAAGAACCTGCAGTATAAACAAACAAAGAAAAAACTAATACTAAACTTTCTTTGGGTTATTTGTATTGAAATATGTTAACATAAATGTTTCAGACATTACATGAAATTTCTAAAAATCTTATATGTTCTGGTATAATGTTATAAGTCATAATTCTAGTTATTACTTTAAAATGTATGTCTCAGAAATAAGTACATTTCCTTGTCAATTGCATTATTATGAACTTTCATCAGATCTTTAACTGTGGTCATTTTTAAGTCTTTTGTCATTCACAGACAGTTCTGGGTGTACTGTGATGCTTTCGCAAAAATGTTCCTATAAAAGGGTTTCATCTTCAAGGAATTCATGGAAAAGACTCTGACAAGTACAGGTTTCTGGTAACTGACTATACTGCTGAACTGAATGAATAAGCATTTTCAGAACTCTAATGGAAAATTGAACTCATGGAAGTGCTAACAAAAGATCAAGATGAGAAAAAAAATTAATTACATGGGAATGAGTAAACTGATGAGGATGATTATTTTTTGTGACTTTGTCTGAATAAAAAAAAATCCCACAAGGACTGAGAGGCAAAAAATATACAAATCAATTTTCAGTGCAAAGTAAAGGAGCTGTTACAGTGGAGGATTACTGGACTGAATGTCAATGTTATGACATAGTATGAGTGTGTTTGGTAATTGCAATCATTGTTGCTTTTGTTGTAGTCATCCATTTACAATGCTTGGTGTCAGTTTATTTATCTCTTGTAAAAATAAAATACAGTGTGTGTGTGTGAAAAAAGAAAAAGAAGAAAATGAAAAAAAATTATACTGGAGTACAAAGCTCACTTGTAAAGAGGTTATTTGGTACATACAGATTAATACCTTTTGTTTGCTTTTATATATAAAAAATAAGCAATATGCTATGTTTTTTTTTTACTATCCTAGCTTTTCTATAGATAAACTATTACAATCAAATCCTGTTTAGTTTTTTGACAGCCTCCATTTTACAATTTAGTTCCTATATTTTCTACCTGGTTGTCCTTTCAGAACATGTCATGGGAAGTTTCACATCTACTGACACATTGCTTTCTGACTTCCACAATTCATCCTGAAATTATCACATTTTCATTTCCAGAAAGTCTGAAATATTTTTCACTGAAATTTCATAGAAATCGAGCTATAGAGCTATAGAACTCAATTTGCAATGGATTACTAAAAAAAGAGGTAGCATATTATATGGACAACCATAAAAACTGAGACAGGACAGTAATAACCTAGCTTCTCAAAAACCCACTTGCATCACCAGATCATTAGGGACAAGCACTTCTGAGGCACGGGGTGGGGGGATTAGCACTTCACTGCTGCAAGTGTGAAATGCCGGTTTCTATAATCATCTTTATGTCTCTCAACTGAGACAGAAACTTCCATCTCACTTATGGATTTTAGAGCAAAAAGGATCAGAAACATTCCTTTTGGCCCATATCCTTTTGTGTCTTTTCCCTTCTCCTGACATTCTCTTATTACTTCAGAATTCTTATTTTTTCCAAAAAGAAAAGAGAATAGGTTGAATTTTTATCCCTTTGAAATGCCTCACCGGACCCCTTAAAAATCACTTAACTGAAGTGTATTTTCACTTATTTTTCAATTTCTCAGTCCCTAAGGAGTGCCATATTCTTTAAGTTACTTTAGTTAGGATTTTACATTTTAGCTTTGCCTAGAGTTGGAATTTCAGATGGCTTAAAGGTAATTTCAATTTTTTAAAAATAGTGGCCTATGACGTATGCTTAGCCTTTTGAAAGAGAGATGCTTTTCAAAGAAATACCCCCAAATTTTCACATGCCTATAGACTTACGCAATTTCATAGAGGCTTTCTAAGAAAATTTAATTTAATAAGGGTTTCCACCATAATGGTCTCACCTAGACACTCTGCCATTTAAATTTCCACAGGGGCTTGATGTTTACAGAAACTTCTGAATTGTGACACCCGCGTCCCCTGCATCGGCAGGCGGACTCTCAACCACTGCGCCACCAGGGAAGCCCTGAAGCTCATTTTTATATGCTAGGTTTTACTAAGCAGAGTATAATAAAAGGGCTATTTAAGGTTTTTTGAAGATTTAGAACAAAATATTGTTCCATCACCTATGTCTTAAGTGGAAACATTAAGGCAGGATTTCTCCACCCCGGGCATTCCTCACATTTGGGCTGGACCCTCCCTTGTTGGGGTCTGTGCTGTGCTGTGTATGAAGTTTAGCCGCATCCCTCGCCTCAACCCACTAGATCTGAACAGCACCCCTCTCTTGCCCTCCCCACCTGCCACTACTTCTGACAACCAAAAAATATCTCCAGACATAGCCAAACGCCCCTGGGAGGCAAAATGAGCCTAGGTGAGAAGTGCTGCTCTAAGGCATGCTATTTTGTGCATCTTCAAAACCAAAGATTCTACACTAAGCCTCAATCTTTACTTTTACAGAGAAGGCATGTAATGTAAGATGAAAACAAGTAGGACCAAAACTTTCTGGCAGGGAAAAATATTCTAAAATATAACCAAGCCAAGACTGTAATTATAAATCAGTCACTTTCTGGGCAGCAAGGTCTGATTTCAGCTGAACCTCAGCTAATTTCAAAGTCATTTCTCTGTAAAGGGCACCACTCACTTTTAGGTTCGTCCCCAACTTTTGCTTCTTTTCTCTCTGAAGTTCTTTTCTGTAGGCATGGATGCTTTCCTCTATGTCTGATAAGGCAGCCACATCACCACTAGTCTTTTCTTTGCTTGCTTCACAACTCTGCACCAAGTTGCTTTCAACCTTAACTAAGGCAGAAGAAAAAGAACCAAGGGTAACCAATTCCTTCTCCAAAGCTAATCCCAAATGACCAATTAGGAAATCCTCACTTCCTAATTTTAGATACTTGAAGAAACTGTTTATAGGGAGAACGCTGCTGAGATTATGAAGGCACTGGAACAAAACTGCTTGATTCCTGGAATAAAAAACCAAACACAATATTACACAACTTAGGACAGTGAAAAATGGTCATGTACAACATACTGTAGTAATCAATTAAGATTCATTTCTAAACTCTCTAGCAATCATCAGAACCAATAATGCATTCATGTGGTCACTGACATAATTCAGACTGTAACAATCAAATACGGTCAGCCCCGTGGTTGGTTGAATTGCAGATGTGGAACCCATGGGTATAGAGGGCGGACCATACTACGCCGTCCTCTAGGACTCGAGCATCCATGGATTTTTGTGTCCACTGGGGTCCTGGAACCAATCCTCCATGGATACAGAGGAACGGCCGTATACATATCCTAAACCAATTCAGTTAGTATTAATCAGGTTGCTTCCTGATTAAAGTTCTTTCTCTGAGTAATAAGATCAAAATTATATTTTTAAAACTTCACTGTGGGGGAGCAGTAAGGGGAAATCTTAAAGTCATTATTAGGCCCTAATCAACCCCACCAAAAAGCCAAAAACAAACATAAAACCAAAACGGCTTCAGTTTCTAAATGAGACTACCTGTTCATTCACGTTGTCCCAGGCAATGACCTGGACATGCCCCACAGTGGTATAGAACACTACACGGGGATTCCTGTTGGCGCGCGTGCACGTGCGCATACACGCACGCACACACACACACACACACACACACACACACACACACTTCCCTGGACCAATTCCAATTTGATGTGCATTACCTGGAATAGACTATTAAAATCCCTTCAAATGGTGTTCTTTGTTTCCAGTTGAAGAGTGTCCCATAGAAGCTTCCTGGCCTTTTGCAAAAGCAAATTTCTGGAAATTCTTTGATAACTTCACATTCCATGTGTTCTAAGAGCCATACCTTCATTGAAGTCAGAGCATAGCTGGGTGATATGATTTGAAAACAAGCTCTCTGCCAGGCCGCGAGAAGCGCAAAGAGATCTTCCGTGTGTTCTATGGCAAAAACATGTCACAAGTGCTGTCATTAAACTGCCCATTATCACATAAAGGGAGTTCTTAAAATTTTCTGATTCTATTAGGTATATGATTAAAAAGGACCCACAAAAATTACCTATAGGTTTCTTCTTTGGAAATGTCAGCAGGTATTTCCCACTTGAAAGATCTTCTAGACTTAACAAAATTCTGCCACACTGAACATAACGAGCTGCAGAATGGTTACCATTCTCTCTCTCTCTAATTTGTAGCAGCACAATGCAACAAAAATTACTGAATGCTAAAAGTGGCGAAAGAGATGTTACAGCAGTAATCATCTGCACATACTCTTTCTCAGATGGTTGTACAAAAACAATGCTTTCCTCTTTCTCTTCCTCTTCCTCACTATCAACACTCAACTTGATTTTTTTTACCTCTGATCCTATTTCATATGGCACTGAGCCTGGTACTGGGGAAGATTTCCTACTCAACTTGATCACCCTACTTTGACACTGAATGAGCAGAAAGCTGGAGTTAGGGGCTTGATCCATTGACAGCGATAAAGTCACATGATTCAGGGACCTGTAAAAAATACAGAGCTCTGTTTACTCTAAAAGCTCATTCTTTAAAATCAAACAGATGATTAAATGCCATACAAACAACAACCAAAAAGTTTTATTCTCTCCTTTCCTAGGAAACATCATTTCAAATGTAAAATACATCAGAAAATTAAGTGTAAAAGCCAAACACATTTTTAAAGATTCTGTAATAGCACTTCTCTTCAAATAGGAAAGCAAAGACATTATAAATATGCTGGACTTAAGGAAGTAGTCTTTTTAGGAGAAAGGAAAGGTATAGTAATGGCTGTATTTTATTTTTGAGGTAGATTTTTTCTCCTTTCCTCTGAAACAAGAAAAAAAAAACTACTAAGTTTTTAAAAGAGTCGATTTTGGTAATTATTTAGAATGAAATACCTCCATGCACTATATTTCTGTTGGACAGTGCTGTTGTAGAACATCAAGATAATGTTATCATGTTAGAATTTACTTACACCTTCAAAGAAGATGTGGTTTTCACTCCAACAACCAAGCTATCTTCTATTACACGATACCATATCTTCTCTACTAGCTGTTCTGAATCTTGAAATTTATCTGATAACTTTTCATCAAAGGTATAGACAGGATTTTCTTCTTCACCACAAAGAGTGACAAGACATTCCTTATGGGAAAATGTTTAAATAACTGATTACAAAAAAAACAACAAAAAAAACCTGCCAAACGTATCAAAATTTAAAAAAATAATATAAACCAGCTTTTGGCTGGGCCTTATGGCTTACATATTTAAAAATAAATTATCATCAATAATATATTATAGATTATACATAATTCACTAAAATAAAACTTATAAAACATATAATTAACCATCTACTTGGATTAAGAAGCATGGCCTGACTGTAAACTGGGCTCTGGGTACCCAACACAGAGCCAGCAGGGATGTAAACCTGGAGTCCATTTTGAAAAACAATCTCGCAATATGTGCTCAAGGCATGCTGAGAACAATCCAATCTTTATTTTAGCAGTGACTAACTCTAAACTGTAACTGGAAACTTTTGTATGAATAACAGTGATTAAACTATCTTAGGACAGCTGATCGATTATTGGTAAAATTTTCTTCTTTTATTTTTCCTTATTTAAAAAAATTCCAGTAGAGTTGATGCTAAAATTTTCTTCTTAAAGACCAGGCCACACTCACTTATTTCCGCATACATATGGATTTATAACAGAAATGGAAATAGGTGGAGGAGTAATGATAATAATAATACACAACACTTACTGAATGCTTGCCATGCGTTAGGCACTGTTCTAAACGCCATTCATGCGTCAATTTGTTTAACCATCACAATAACTCTAGTACCCTAGGTTGGTAGTATTATTATCTTCTAAATTTTCCAGATAAGGAAACTTGAGGCACAGGGAGGTTAGGTACCTCGCCCCAGATCACCCAGTTAGCAAGACTCAGAGCTGGAATCTGAACCAGAGGCAATTGCTTCCAGAGCCCATGTTGCACATTAACCATTACTCTATACTGCCCCTCTATGTGGTAATTACTGAAAAAAGATATGGGCACTTACATTACAGTAAACGAAACATGTTCCTAGGAATCTGACACTTCTGCCAGTAGCTGTGAGATTTGAGGCAGGCTGCTCACCTGCAACCCGCAGAAATTTTTATTACCTGCCAGAATTGCTCTTAAAGTTAACAATGTAAAGGGCCCAAAACAGTGCCTTGCACGCAGTGGCTTCAATGCACTAATTTCTAACATTTCTTCCCCTTTTCTAACACCGGCAAAATCACTGGGGTCAAGTGGGGAAGGGAAATGGGAAGACTTTGAACAGTGACTTTCTACAAGGACTCACATGAGGTTTCCCAGGAGATGAGAACAGTAATACAGAAACGCAAGACGATGTGCTTTTGTTTTTTACGTTAATGGAATCATATTTTGGGCCAAAATCATCATATGGCTAAGACCGAAATACAGACACAAGGCAAAGAGCATTACAAGAACAGTAAATCTTAAAGGGAGTCAAAGCAAGGCACTAAAGTGACTTGAGGGAAGAAAATGCAACTTCAAGTGTATCTATGTCCAGCTTTTCTTGATATATCTGTAACTCTGCTATGCTATCTTTCTCTGTAGGGAACAAAGTGTGCATAAATCCTATTTTTTATGAAGTCAGAGCAGTTTTTGCTCACTTTCTACATTACTATAGTGGCATAAGTAACTGCAAGGTACCTGAAGAGGTTCTTGCGATGGTCAACCACAAGGGAAACTAGAGTAAAATTATAAAAAGCAGATATGAGGACTAGAAGAGCATAGCAATTTAGGGACATTAAGTAGAGGAATAAATATCCTTAGACATGAACCATGCAACAGACTAAAAGATTATATTAATGATGAAATTATGTCACCATTAATACAAGGTAAAATAATACTCAGTATATTCTGTTTACGAAGTCAGAAAACATATACAATTGCCCCTTGAACAAAAGGAGTTTGAACTGCGCAGGTCCACTTATATGTGGATTTTCTTCAATAGTAAATACTACAGTACTACTTGATCGCCAGTTGGTTAAATCTGCAGATGGGGAACCAGGGATACAGATGGCCCACAGTAAAGTTACTTGTGGATTTTCACTGCGTGTAGGGTCGGCGCCCCTGACCCCCATGTTGTTCAAGGGTTAACTGTAATCCACTTAGGAGTAATTTCTATTCAAACTATACAAATAAAACAGTTTAATATTTAAACCTTGTTTAAACAAAAGGACTTGTTCCCCGAGGTTCCTGATAACTGAGATTTTAATATCCTACAGAATAATTTGCAAATTGCTAAAATATTGGCTTTTTAACCAAATAGTTTTCAATGTCATAAAAGCCCACCATTACATAATCCCTGCCACTTTGCTTCTTGATCCATTATGCAGCATTTTCTAATATATTCCAATATTCTAATTTAAAGAACTCTTCAATAGCTTATAGGTTTTCAATTCATAAAATGATAAAACAGTCACATGATCAAGTTTACCTCCTCTGCACTTGATGTACTATCATCTTTCCCTTGAAACAGGTTCATTAAAGCCTTGTAAGATTTTGAAATAATTTTTTCCTTAAGCAAGAGATGCTGCTGTAATTCCTGAACAGAAACCAAACCAACCTGTAGAGTATAAAGAAAAATCATTGCCAGAGACATAATTTCAAATGAAACCGAACGTACCAATAATTCAGTAAGTATTTTCTCCAAATTTGCTTATTAATTCATTTTTCTATAGACAAGTAAAGAATACGTCTCAGAGCAAAACTATTTACAAATTTTGAGTCTCTAATTACAAAGGAAAATAAACACAGCAAATAATTATAATAGTTTACATGTCAAATTGAGAGAATGCCAATGTATTTGCATCTGTTTCACTAGTGAGTTAAGTAATGAATCAATATGAATATGAATAAGTCCAATCAATATTAATAAAAAGCAAGGCCTACCAACACTCCAACAAGAAAACTTTTTCTGGTTGAAATAATTTCTGCTTCAAAAAGCAAGACGTATCATTATGAACAGAAATGCTTACCTTTGATTTGATACCGCCTGAAATCCTCTGTTCATATGACCTTTATAGCAAAACTTTAAAGGTAACATGTAACTGTCACACGTTAAGTGTTGTGCAAATAAACTCAGTGCTCGGGTCCAGTCTTAACTATCGGGGGTAAAAACTGGCTCTGAACTGGGCAAACAGCAAACCGCTCCTTTTTATACCAGATAAATAGATTTCAGCACTAAGGATGAAACATTCATGAAATATATTTTACTCCTGAAAATTTAAAAAGAGTCGCGTCACTGAACATTTAGAAGCTGTTTCATTTCAGATGGATATCTGAGACTGTTCAAGTATTAATTCAGCTTTTAATGTAACATGTTCTGCTAGACTGAAAAAAAACAAGATGCGGCCTGTATTTGCCTTTCTTTTAAATTACATTTTAAGGCAGATAAATTCTTTTTCCTTTTATCAATGAACAGAAGTTGGAGAGTAAAGACTGAATTCTATCTTCCCTCGGTGCACAAAGCATGTAAAGTGTCTACCTAACGTTTTAAAACTTCATCTGTTAGCCTACCTCCGAGGGCTCCACGTCATTCACGTTCCATCATTCATTGGCCGAGTAACTCACGACTGTGAGGCCGTGAGATGTACCTGTCTGGGGCGGAGAGCCAGGTGTGAGGCTGCTGGAGGGGCAGGGGGTGGAACAGAAGGCTACATGGGCAGAAGGACAACGAGGGCACTCTCAGAAATTATCCGTGGTCTCTCTTCCCTACTCTCTTCAACATGACCCCCACTCCAGGAATAAATCGTGTGTCATTAGACTTCTTAAATATTCTGTGTTGTTACAAGTTTTGTTATAAAATTATGAAAATAAGCCCATGATAACAAATTTAAACAACATACAAAGACATCTCACCTTCCCTTCCTAGACCCTCGATCCCATTTGCACAGCCAGGAGACTGCTTACCTTTCCAGAACTCTTCCATGTATGTTAAGGTTTGCTCTCATTCTCCTCCTCATAAACAAAACCTTCCCCAAACCAAACAGAGGAGCACACTGCACTGCATGACACCGAACCTTGCTTTCCTGTTCTTACTGTGATCTCTTTCACACGTGCAGAAGAGTTTGCAAGACAAAAAAGCAGTTCATAGACTAATGATGAAGTAGATACCCCTGGAACCACATCCAGGTCAAAAAAGCAGCACTTCAGGAGCAGCCCATGGGCACTCCCCAATAGAGAACCTCTCTCTGCCGGAGGCAACACTACCCTGGCCTTTCAGGATAACTTCCTTGCTGGTCTTCGTCATTTTACCATCATCATATGAACTCCCAAAGAATATGTTTAGTTTGTGTGTGTGTTCTGCTTCTGAACTTTTATAAGTGGAATCGTTCTGTATGTAATCGCTTTTCGAGTCATCTATTTGTCGCTAGTAGCTGCAGCTCGTGCCTTTCACTGCTCTGTAGCATCCCATCGGCTCACTACACCAGTTCCCCTCTCCTTCCTCCCGCTGATGGACAGAGGGGTTATGCCCAGCTGTGGAGCATTACAAACAATGCTGCTGTGAACATTCCTGTACCTATGCACAAGTGTCTCCAAGGTCCTGGCCTCTCCTTATCCCCACCAACAAGTGGCTGGAAAATAAAATGCATAGGGGAAAGAACAGTGAGCCGAACTCTAGCTCTAGCTCTGCAAGCCACTTCACATTTCTGGCTCTCCATCTGCTTTCTTGTATGCAAAACGGCGGAGAGGGTAGATGTGTTCATCTCTAAAAGGCCTTCCAGCGCTTAGAAATGTTTTGAGCCACGTTGAGAGCTAGTGGTAACATGTGGATACTTGAAACAACATGGACGCTCAGCTGTCTCTCGTACATCCCTGCCTTCCGTCTCTGTTTCTTTCATATTTTCCTTCTTTGTTGATACCTTCTAGATAATTTTCTTAACAGTCTAGTTTGCTTATTTGCTCCACATCTCTTTAAGTCAACTGTTAAACTCATCTTTTTTTTAAATTTCAATTTATTTTTAGTTTATAGAAATGGTTATTTTCTGTGAATAATTCATCATGATGCCTTGTTTCTTCATGTGCTTAGTTATTCTTTAGGTGGCTCATTTTCTTTAAAAAATTACTTGTGAGATTCAGAAGAGACCTAGGATAAATGTGTATTCCTAGAGAGGATTTTATGTTGTTTCTGCCAGGTGACTAGGGCACTCTTACTTTATGTTAAATACAAATGCTCCCAGGGCAATAGTAGCATCAGTGTTCTGCTTGCCTCCCTGGGTTCCAGCCTTTAGAGTTTGGCCTGCTAATTTATTCTTATATTTTCAGCTTTTTGAAGCTTTTAAGAATATTTTTAAAACATATTTCATCTACCATTTTAAGTTGTTTTTATCATCAGAGTTGATCCAAATAAATTAAATGACATATTACCAGAAGTGGAATTTCTAAAAGTCATGCTTTCATAAATTAAATTATTTTGGCATCATTTAACAATCAGTATAAAGAGGTACCTTAATCTTTCTGACAGCTGCACACTATGCCATGGTTCAGTTATATCATATTTACCATACTCCTAATGATGGATATTTAGATTTTGATTGAACTTTGTTTACTAATACTACTTAAACATTCCTGTAAAATCAGCTTTGCTTACATATATAAGTGTATGTTTAGAACAGATTTCTAGAAGTGAAACTGCAAGAGTAAAAAGACATGTGCAATTCACATTTTAACAGATATAACAAGTTTCCTTCTGAGGAGGTTGGACCACTTTACATGTTCAACAATACTGTTTTAGGGCTTCCCTGGTGGCAGTGGCTGAGAATCCGCCTGCCAATGCAGGGACACGAGAAGACATGTGCAATTCACATTTTAACAGATATAACAAGTTTCCTTCTGAGGAGGTTGGACCACTTTACATGTTCAACAATACTGTTTTAGGGCTTCCCTGGTGGCGCAGTGGCTGAGAGTCCACCTGCCGATGCAGGGGACACGGGTTCGTGCCCCGGTCCGGGAAGAACCCACATGCCGTGGAGCGGCTAGGCCCGTGAGCCATGGCCGCTGGGCCTGCGCGTCCGGAGCCTGTGCTCCGCAACGGCAGAGGCCACAACAGTGAGAGGCCCGTGTACCGCAAAAAAAAAAAAACCCCAAAATCAATACTGTTTTAGAATGCCTATTTATATTAAGAAAATTAATCCTTTGTCAAATATGTTCCAATTTCTTTTTATATAATTTGTCTTCTTATTTCTTTTACTTTGTTTGGAGCACAGAAGTTTTTAATGTAATCAACCTCTTCCTTTATGGTTCTATGTCCATTATGTTTTATTTATCTACTGTTTACATTCACATCTAACATGTGTTCACTAAGCATTTACTGAATTCACTTTAATATTAAAATACTTGCAAAAAAAACTTTTAAAGGGCCTGCAAAGTACAAATATTTACTATCTGGCCCTTCACCAAAAAAGTTTGCCAGGGATAAAGGAAAAAGATAAATGACAACACAAGGAAATAGACAAATCAGAAAGGAGGGACAATTGGCCTGGCCTCCTCATTAGTGCCACTTTTTTCAAAACGGAGAGAGGGCATAATTCTAGATGAAAAGACCAATGAGACATATAATAATCAAGTGCAAGTGTAAACTGATTGGATCCTGAAAAAAGCAGCCATATAAAAACATTTTTGTGGCAATTGAAGCCATTTGAATACGGACTGAATAGTAAATAAGATTAAGAGATTATTATACTAACTTTCTAAGTGAATAATGGTATTGGGGTTACATAGGAGAATGTCTTTATTTTTAGGAGATTCCTGCTAAAACACATAGGAGTGAAGTATTAGAATATTTGCAACTTTCAAATGGTTCTGCAAAAACGTACAAATACACGTACACACACACACACACAAGCAGAAACAGATGAGGCAAATGTGATTTTGTATAAAGTAACAATAGTTGAATCTACATGGGGACTAGAGATAATCACTGTTTTATTCTATGAATTTTCTGTATATTGGAAAATTTTTATGAATGAAAAAAGGCAGGTTACATAAGAACAGGCATCTTATAATCACATTTCCATGTAAACTTGTATATATTCTTTAAAAACATCAACAAGAATATGCAAGTCAAAGTGTTAAAATTGGTTATATCACAGTAGTGGAATCATAGGTAATTGTTAGTATCTCTTGAATATTTCTTGGCATAGTCAGTACTTTACAGGGAATGTGTGTTACCTTCATATATTGGGAAAAAAATTAAAAACTTTTAGAGAGCTTTGTATGGAAAACTTGAAGGTAAACTGATCATGTTTAGAACATGTCATGATTCATCATATTTGCTGCTCCTTTAAAAGAGTTATGGTATACTTATCCTAAAAACTAGGAAGAATGTGTTTTCAAAAGTCAGCCTCTATTTTATCTTATAAGGCTTCTTATTAAGGCTTATAAGGCCTCTATTTTATCTTATAAGGCTTATCATCATGTTTAGATGACACATTTATAAGTAATGTCATAATAGCTTTTACAGAGGTACCAAAAAAGGAAATAGATCCTTTGAAATACAGGTTTCCCCACTACCCAAAAGTAGAGCATGCCTATGAAACCTTTTGAAAGCCATTATGAAATGATGTAAAGCAAAGAAGCAATTACCTTAGGACACGTCTTGCTAAGGGATGCACAAAATAAACGGGAGATAAAGCATGGGTGCTCACAGACACAGGTCAAAGCTATGGCAGCTGGATGCTGAGATGCCGAACTCAGTCCCCAGAAAGGAGCTTGGCAGGGTTACTCTCGCTTCTCGGGAGGCGAGGTGTAAAGGCTCGTCGCAAAACGAACGCTGAACGCTACCTTTCGCCTTTTTTCATAAAAGCGAAAGTCCTCTTTGGATTTCTCTCGGTTAGCAAAAACAGGTGCTAACGCAGGTCTTTCGTAAAAGCAAAGTGGCATAAGGCGAACTTTCAAAAAGCAGGGGATACCTGTACCATATTTTTCCCTCCCAATCACTCAGTTTCTTATACTTTAAGGACCTTTCTTTCAATGTTCTTTCCTTCATTTAGAACAGCACTAATCCAAAAAAGCAAAAGCAGAAAGCAAAGACACTAACTTTCAATCTTCTTTCCAGAGGTGGAACCACCAAATAATTCTCTTTGCCGTCAAATAAGTCATCTTCATTGTAATCCAGTGTTTCACTCTAATAAATAAAACAATACACTAAAACTGAAATTTTGAAATAAACTGAAAATTCTTAAGATTAACAAAATACAATTAAAGTTTATCCAAAAGGCAATGTGCCACAATACACATTGTTATATAAAAGACAAGATACATATTTTCCCCCTCATCTTCTCATAACTAGAAAAAAAAATTATTATTGCCACTATTACCACCCACCTAACATTTGTATACTGCTTCAAAAAGTATCAGCTTGGGCTTCCCTGGTGGCACAGTGGTTGAGAGTCCGCCTGCCGATGCAGGGGACACGGGTTCGTGCTCCGGTCCGGGAAGATCCCACATGCCGCGGAGCGGCTGGGCCCGTGAGCCGTGGCCGCTGAGCCTGCGCGTCCGGAGCCTGTGCTCCGCAGCGGGAGAGGCCACAACAGTGAGAGGGCCGTGTACCGCCAAAAAAAAAAAAGTATCAGCTTACTAGGCTTTTATAAAATCCTATAACTAGAGAAAATAAGAATTATCCTCATCTTACTAACGGAAAAAAAAAAAACAGAAAAAAACCCCTGAGGCTCAGAGATGTTTTATAGAGATCTGAAACTTCCAGAGTATTATTTTCCTTATGCTCAAAATCTTATTATGAACTGTTACTTCTTTTAGTAAAGCAGTTTCGCTTTATTTTGTTCCTTAATTAATCCAATATTATCATATTTATTGGTATAAAATGTGCTTTTCAGAAGCAACGATAAAGTTAATTTACAGTATTATTGTCACTTGAGTGAATACCAGATATACTATATTCCAAATTTATAAAACACCTACACCAATATGTATAAAATAGATAACTAATAAGAACCTGCTGTATAAAAATAAATAAATATTTTTAAAAAGTCAATTTGTATATCATTTGTTGAAAGAAGAGTCAATGTACTATTTAAAAGGTTCAATGTATGTATTTTTAAAGTTCTAAAAGCTTACTTTAAGTATGAAATCAAAAATATTTAAAGGGTAAGTCAAAAGCTTTAAAGTGCTCAAATTTTCTAAAATGTTCTTAAGTAATGCATAAAAAGTAAACAGAACTTACTGAATAGTTTAAGTTGTCCAGGTCTGTTATTTTAAAGGAACTGAGGCAATCTGAATTCAAGGGGTCCTTAAAAAGTAGCAGTACTTGTTCAGTTCCAGTTCCAAGAAAGTCATCTATCAGTACTGAGCTAACTTTCTCCCACTTAGCAGCAAGCTGAAAGAGAGTGTTAAAGAAGGAATAGAGAAAGAAAAAAATCAGATGTGAAGTAAGCTAAATCCTTTTGTTGCACGTACCTCTAATTTGTCATCTTCAATCTTAAACAAGCAATGAAAATGGTAGGGTAAACACTGAAAACTAAACTAAAATAAAGATATTGGGAGATGAGAAGACATAAGGAGTCATCAATTTATAAATAGCAAGGTACTGAAATTTCTTTATCAACATTTGTCCAGGGACTGTCACGTTCCTGATTTCTATATTAAAATTTTATAATTTATAAATTCTAACACTTCTCATGACTAACTCTAGTGAAGATTCTTTCTCTAACCGGTTAATTTAAGGATGACCCTAACTCCCATAAGCCTTAGTGGATACATATTTATGATCAAACCAATTAAACAAGGAATTCAGTGGCATTAGGTAACTAGACAGTACTAGCAAACACTTTAAGAGCTCTCATAGCAGAATAACATTTAAGAGTCCATATGAAATTAATTAATACCCTAAACTCTGATAGGACAGAACAGTCATTATGAGGGGCACAGAAGGGGAGGGATCCTAATAGTAGGGCACCTAGAATCATCCTAGCCTAATGAAATGATTTCTTAGGCTTATACAAGAACGTGAGACCCCAAGTTTAAAACAGAAGACAAAGACCTGTATGCAGAAAATTATAAGACACTGATGAAAGAAATTAAAGATGATACAAACAGATGGAGAGATATACCATGTTCTTGGATTGGAAGAATCAACATTGTGAAAATGACTCTACTTCCCAAAGCAATCTATAGATTCAATGCAATCCCTATCAAACTACCACTGGCATTTTTCACAGAACTAGAACAAAAAATTTCACAATTTGTATGGAAACACAAAAGACCCCGAATAGCCAAAGCAATCTTGAGAACAAAAAATGGAGCTGGAGGAATCAGGCTGCCTGACTTCAGACTATACTACAAAGCTACAGTAATCAAGACAGTATGGTACTGGCACAAAAACAGAAAGATAGATCAATGGAATAGGATAGAAAGCCCAGAGATAAACCCATGCACATATGGTCACCTTATCTTTGATAAAGGTGGCAGGAATATACAGTGGAGAAAGGACAGCCTCTTCAATAAGTGGTGCTGGGAAAATTGGACAGGTACATGTAAAAGTATGAGATTAGATCACTCCCTAACACCATACACAAAAATAAGCTCAAAATGGATTAAAGACCTAAATGTAAGGCCAGAAACTATCAAACTCTTAGAGGAAAACATAGGCAGAACACTCTATGACATAAATCACAGCAAGATCCTTCTTGACCCATCTCCTAGAGTAATGGAGATAAAAACAAAAATAAACAAATGGGACCTAATGAAACTTCAAAGCTTTTGCACAGCAAAGGAAACCATAAACAAGACCAAAAGACAGCCCTCAGAATGGGAGAAAATATTTGCAAATGAATCAACTGACAAAGGATTAATCTCTAAAATTTACAGGCAGCTCATGCAGCTCAATAACAAAAAAATAAACAACCCAATCCAAAAATGGGCAGAAGACCTAAATAGACATTTCTCCAAAGAAGATATACAGACTGCCAACAAACACATGAAAGAATGCTCAACATCATTAATCATTAGAGAAATGCAAATCAAAACTACAATGAGATATCATCTCACACCAGTCAGAATGGCCATCATCAAAAAATCTAGAAACAATAAATGCTGGAGAGGGTGTGGAGAAAAGGGAACACTCTTGCACTGCTGGTGGGAATGTGAATTGGTTCAGCCACTATGGAGAACAGTATGGAGGTTCCTTAAAAAACTACAAATAGAACTACCATATGACCCAGCAATCCCACTACTAGGTATATACCCTGAGGAAACCAGAATTCAGAAAGAGTCATGTACCAAAATGTTCATTGCAGCTCTATTTACAATAGCCCGGAGATGGAAACAACCTAAGTGCCCGTCGTCGGATGAATGGATAAAGAAGATGTGGCACATATATACAATGGAATATTACTCAGCCATAAAAAGAAACGAAATTGAGCTATTTGTAATGAGGTGGATAGATCTAGAGTCTGTCATACAGAGTGAAGTAAGTCAGAAAGAGAAGGACAAATACCGTATGCTAACACATATATATGGAATTTAAGAAAAAAAAAATGTTATGAAGAACCTAGGGGTAAAACAGGAATAAAGACAGAGACCTACTGGAGAACAGACTTGAGGATATGGGGAGGGGGAAGGGTGAGGTGTGTTAGGGCGAGAGAGAGACATGGACATATATATACTAACAAACGTAAGGTAGATAGCCAGTGGGAAGCAGCCGCATGGCACAGGGAAACCGGCTCGGTTCTTTGTGGCTGTCTGGAGGGGTGGGATAGGGAGGGGGGGAGGGAGGGAGACAAAGAGGGAAGAGATATGGGAACATATATATATGTATAACTGACTCACTCTGTTATAAAGCAGAAACTAACACACCATTGTAAAGCAATTATCCCCCAAAAAAAAAGTTAAAAAAAAAAAAAAAAAAACAGAAGACAACTTCTTAAAGATCCATAAAGCTGAAAGCTTCCAGATTGGTTCCCTAGAAAACTAACACCATGGGGATCAGAAATCCCTTCCCCTCAGGCAGAAAAGCTGAAACTCCCACTTAGAATCCCGCATGGATACATCATCCTCTAGGTGGAGGGTAGCCTGCATTACAGGAAGAACATAAGACTCTCAATCTATATAATGAAATATCAATCTTTCCCCTATAAGGTTAATTCCAAAGCAGTGATTTTTCACTCATGCAGGGAGAAAGCTGTAAACTCATATCCTCCCTTCCTCCCACTGCCCCACCATGAATAGCATGGACTATAATGAACCATGTGAAGAGACACTGGTAATAAGAATGTGCTCAGCACGCAAACACCATAGAGCTGTGCAGGCATGCATGCACACACACGCCTGCAACCTCTAGCTCTAGAATAGCGTCATCCAAAAGAAATATACGTGAGCCACAAATGCAAGGCACATATATAACTTTAAATTTTCCAGTAGCCAATAAAAGAAAGTTCTCTAGTAGCAGTAAAAAGGTGAAACTTATTTTATTTAATCTATCTAAAATATTATTTCAATTCAATGTAATCAATAAAAATTATTAAAGAGATATTTTATTTCCATTTTTTACTAAGCCTTTGAAATCTGGTGTGTATTTGACATGGACAGCACGTTCTAATTCACACCAGCCACATTTCAAATGTTTAATCGCCACCTGCGGCCAGTGGCTACCGTATAAGACATCGCACCTCTAGAACATATTAGCCTCTTTCTATCTACAACACATCACTATCTGTTTCACATATACCTGACAATGATCTCAATTTTGAAATGCCTGCTACATAGATACTTGTCAAAACTTGCAGACACAATTTCTTAGTTGTGGCATGTGGTAGCTTTAGTTGCAGCATGCGGGATCTAGTTCCCTGACCAGGGATCCAACCCGGGCCCCCCCGCATTGGGAGCACGGAGTTTTACCCACTGGACCACCAGGGAAGTCCTGTGATAGAAAATTTAATTGAGCTTCTAATTAAATGGACAAGGGCACATCAAGTAAGGCAGTATCTGCTTTTTTTCCCAAAGCAGCACAGGAACTTAAAAGATTGTATAATGTATTAAAAAAACTACTTTGGAAGATCTTAAACTATAAACACTTCATATCACATAAATGAATGTGCTGATAAACATCTTAAGCCAGGAGGACGCAATGTTAACAAAACACCAGGGTCAGAGAAATATTATCGGAGACGCACAGTTACAATCCTCCAATTTCCTTTTCATTTTCTGCACCTTTTTACTTGTTATTGAATGCTCAATACCAGTGAGTATTTTAAAGCAATTTCCCAACCTTACATTAAAAGACATGACTACATGTAGATAAAATGTGAATGCTTGCTCAAAGGACAACTCTGAGTTTCAAAATGTAACATAAAGAAATTCTCTAAGCAACGGTTTTTAGAAAAATTAACACATCACTTTTCTCTGGAGAACGATTATTTGTCTCTAAATGGACAATGATAGATTTCAAGGAATTCCTCTAGATTTCATTTTAAGTTTAAAACAATAATGACCAACTTTTAAAAAGCTCAACAACTGATTTGAGTTTTCTAGAAAGGTTTATGATCTTATTCTAAGTAAAAATACAAAGCCAATAATTACCAACTTATGAAAATTAGAAAGTTATAGTAAAAGACAAATAAATAGATAATAATTGTAGTTATGTATTTATGTATTTCCCCAAACTCAAGGGTTTTTATGACTCAAAATCGCAAGGCAAAATCCTTATCAAGTAATATTCAGATAATTTTAAGAAAAAAGACTGATGTAACATATATGATTTTCTTTTTAGTGCAGCACTAAAAATTGATTTGGATAATAAGACTCCAGAATGAATCCTATGAAGCACAGCGATGCTTAGTAGGTCTAAGACTATGCTAACTGAATGATTAAAAGTACCATACCTGGGGCTTCCCTGGTGGCGCAGTGGTTGAGAATCTGCCTGCTAATGCAGGCGACACGGGTTCGAGCCCTGGTCTGGGAGGATCGCACATGCCGCGGAGCAACTAGGCCCGTGAGCCACAACTACTGAGCCTGCGCGTCTGGAGCCTGTGCTCCGCAACAAGAGAGGCCGCGATAGTGAGTGGCCCCCGCTTGCCACAACTAGAGAAAGCCCTCGCACAGAAATGAAGACCCAACACAGCAAAAATAAATTAATTAATTAATAAACTCCTACCCCCAGCATCTTCTTTAAAAAAAAAAGGTACCATACCTGAAAGTTCTTTTCCCAAACAGCACAAGCATCACTGGCCCTAAAGGATATGACGAAAAGGAGGTCTCCTCCACCTGAATCCATAAGTTGAACTGCACAAGGATCTCCAAATGGAAGCTGGCACACACTTTTCGGAGTCCCATTTTGGAATGAAATCAGCTGATTCTTTTGAGTAAGAGCAATCAGCGACATTCTTAACCGGTTGTTGACGATCTCAGTTGCACAGACATGCACACATGTTATCACACTGGTATAAACAGGCGGGATAATGTATGTATCATTTATTACTTCTTCCCTTTTGAGCGAGTATACACAAAATTGAGTATTCCAAGTTGCATAATCTGATTTTGAAGGCTGTGGGGTACATCCTTCCTCAGATAAGTTACATCTCTTTCGTCCTAACAAAACCATACCTACATTTTCAATCTCCCCTGCCCACTCAATAGAGGAAAACTTAATGGACATAGTAACAACTTTGCCAGTTTGGGAAGAGATATAAAAGAATGTTTGGACATGTCTCCATAAAACTAAAGGGCCATTAAGGACCCTTATGCCGTCCTTCAACTCACAGTGTAGTCTAAAACTCAAACGCCTTTCAAATTTATTGGTACTGTGAAGAAATAGTAGAAAATATCTGAAAACGTTACTCTTTTTAATGCACTGTATCATAATATAAGGCAGATTAATTCCAGTTCTGAAATCTGAAACACAGTCGCAACCCATAATTCTTAAATGAGAGTATTCTTCTTTTATGCTGAAGAATCCAGTGGATTTCTGAACAAATACTCCTGTTCCTCTGTCAAATACCATTCTTCTGACATGTAACACAGTTGTTTTTGTAGGCCCTTCATCTACAAAATTTCCTTTAGACAAACGAAAAACAAGGACTTCTCCATTATAACAGAAGAGCCTTTCTTGTTCATTAGATGACATTGTTTGTTTGCTAGTAAAGCCACAGTATCAAGTCCAATTTTCAAATGTAAATCGATTCCAGTTGATGCTTCTAAACCTAAAAATGAAATGAGGGAAACTGTCATCCAGTAGGCAGAGCTGAAAAGAAAACACATGTTTTTGTTAGAGAACCATCACATAGGTAACTATAAACTTTGACATTTTTAAGCTTTTTATGCTATTTTAACAATGTCACGCTTATCAAAAAACTGTATCCCAAATATTATTTCCGTACAGCCGTTAAAAAACACAGTTGGCAAAGAATGCAAATAACCACACCACAAAAGATAACCGAATGTGTTAACAGCATCTATTAAAAGGTGTGGGTGCTCTATTATAAGGTACTGCACACATTCTCTCTGGCTCAGGGAATTTCTTAAGGGTTCTACTTCTGTCTCTCAAACTTACCGACCTAATCTGGTTTCTCCCTGTAGGCCTTAGTCCCTCTACAATGACAACTCAGTCAGTCAAGGATTCAAATTAGAGCACTCCCACAGCCCAGGCGCTTGGGTTCCTGCTTCCCTGAGAAAGGAGTTCGAACGGACTCGATGGCCAAAATGAAAGCCCAGAAAGAAAAACAGGAGATGCTGTAACATGGCTTTAAAAAAATCTCCATAAGAGTAACAGAAATAAATCTTAAATCTTACTTTGCAAAAACAGTGCAGTTTTACACCCTAAGGAAGTCACTATCCTCATTCAAAGTAGAAGAAAACAAGAGATTATAGAGGATCTATAAAATAGAGGATCCTCTATAAAACAGAGGATTAAAATAGAGTATCATTATTATAATGAACACAAGGATTAAATAATAGCTATCAATTATTCACACTTATTATATGCCAGGTACAATACATGCATTATTTCACTTAAAGGTCACAACTACTCTTTTAAAGTAAGCATTCTTATTATCCCATCTTATAAACAAGAAAACCATAGTCTAACAAAGGTCAGAAAATTCTTCCAAGCTTACAAAGCTAATCAGCAATGGCACTAGATTTGGAAGAGGGGCCCAATGCCTCCTGAACCTACACTTTTAACCACTACACTGTCCTGGCACACATTCCCTTACTCTGAACACTGGTTATTAGAAAGGCAACTTGAGAGAATTAGTAAAGTAGAATACAGAACAAAGGAACACCCACTCCACTGAACACATGTAAGAAAACATGTAAGAAAAAGATGTTGATGTCTCTTTATCCAGTGGCTATATATGCTGAGTCACTCCTGTAACAGCTACCAAATGCTTAGCATATGCTAAGAACCGTGCACCTTTAAAACACCCTCTGAATGTTGGGCCTGCCTTTTACTAGATGTATGATCTATGGCAAGTTACTTAACCCCTTTGTGCCTCACATCCACATCTATGTAATGGGGTGTAGTAACAGTATCTACCCCACAAGGTGCTGGAATTAGCTAATATAACTCACTTGAAATAGAAGCTGGCACATAGAAAGTGCTAATAAAGGCCAGCTACTATCATTCTCATCATCATGGCTGGCTCTGGTTCATACAGTACCTAATCTTAGAAACATCAGAATAGTTGCATACTTAATGGTCTGTGAATGTTGAAATGTCTCCCGTCACTCACTATAAGTAACTCTAACTCATACTCTCTCTTTTCTGTTATTTGTGGATCATTTACACCAGGAAAATAAAGTACTTTAGAAATAAATGAAAACTAGGTCGTGTACAAGGAAGTAATATTGTTTTCCTCTTTCAAATGAGAAGCAAACTCCAAAGGCTTAGGTTTTCTTCTTTTAATATAAAAATCTACCAATAGTCCAATTAGAAAAAAATATCACTGAACCATTAATCTATAAATTTAACTTAATATAGCCTGCATTTTATTGAAATGACTTGATTTAGAGGCAATTCTACTTAAAAGCAGAGTAGATTAGTCAGCATCTACATTCGAATTGGAGATGCTGCACCTTATTGTCTAACTTCCAAATACATGTGGTTTTAAAATATGCTCACAGCAACTAAGCCCATGCGCCACAACTACTGAGCCTGCACTCTAGAGCCCACGTGCTGCGACTACTGAAGCCCACGCACCTAGAGCCCGTGCTCCGCAGCAAGAGAAGCCACCGCAGTGAGAAGCTGGCGCACTGCAACAAAGCGTAGCCCCAGCTCGCCACAACCAGAGAAAGCCCGCGCGCAGCAACGAAGACCCAATGCAGCCAAAAATATAAAATAAAATATGCTCACAAATTTCTTTGAAATTCCTTCCATCAAGAAGGAACTCTCCTCACCCTGAGTGAGGCCTGGTCATTATGACTCACTTCCAGCCAACAGAATACAGCAGAAGACGGGGTGACAGCATGGTGGTTTCCTCAGTGACCTGTTCCTTGGCTCACTTGCACTGGGGAAAGCCACCTGCCGTATCATTAAGACACTCGGGCAGCCCCGCAGAGATGTACACGTGGCAAGGAACTGTGGCTTCCTGCCAACAGCCAGCAAGGGACTGAGGCCTTTTGCCAACAGCCATGTGAGTGAGCCTTCCAGGGATCCCATCTCCCAGCTCCAGTCAAGCTTTCCTGAGCAGACCCACCCGGCTAAGCGGCTCCCAAATTCCTGGTCCTCAGAAATCTTAAGTTAATAAATGTTTGTTGTTTTATGCTGCTCAATTTGGGAGTAATTTGTTATGCAGCAACAGATAAATACATTTCTCTGTGGCATCTGGGTTTTTTTTCCAAATCAAATTGATGATATTGCTTTTGAGAATTTCAAGAAGTATTAGTGAAGTAACTGGAGATACTAGATCATAATACAAACTAGCAGAAGCCAAACAGTTTCCTGGCTTGTTGTTAAGCAATTCATGTGAAGATCTGGGACAACAGGTACCCCAGAGTAGTTTCAGCTTCATCAGTAAAGAAGATAAGTAGGGTAACCAAAGGTGTGGCTTTTAATTATGAAACTACGTTTTACTTGAAAGGAAATACACATATTGGTTATATTACATCAAAATGTATGACTACTTATTTATTTCAAATTTCCCACAGACATCTCAGACCTCTTAGAAGACTTCTAAGAAAGTTTCCTGTTTTAGCACTAAATGATATATTCTTTTTTAGCATTATATATTATAAATATAAATTATATATTTTGAGGTAAAGATCTAAAAACTCATTGTCTTTTACTACCTACTCACTTCAAAAGGTGTTCAGATTTCTTAATACTAAGAACAACCAAAAATACCTTCTGTCCAGGAAAGGATTTTGTTATTTTAATATTAAATGTCACAACTAATGGGTCATCAACACAATGCTCTTGTTCACCAACACCCCAGTGTGACAGGAGTAAGGAGGATCTTAGTGGTAAGACCACTAAGTAAAAGGTCACAGAACCGCCCCCTTCAAAAATCTTTGGAGTATGTATTGTTGCACCTTCATAAAGTAATGAGTTAGGAAAATCAGTCCCCTTACATTCTATTCTTTTAATGCTATCACCAAGTTCCTTAACTTAGAAACTTCTTTCTTCCAATTCTCTGATCCAACTGCCACTACGATGATTCAGGCTTTCATCTCTCATTTAGGTTGTGATAAAAGCCCTTTAACCAGTCTTCCTTAATCTAGTCTCTCTCCCCTGCAATATATCCATTCATTTATGCTACCTCAGTTATTGTTCTAAAACACAAACTTGACTGGGTAACTGTCCCCTAATTTAAAAGCTTTGCATGCACTTACCGCCACTTCCCCGCACCCCCCAGATCTACGATCTATAATCCCTAAACTACTACCTGGAAAGACAGATGCGAAACAGTGTACTGAACGTATGAATGACATAGAGATAAAAGGGTGCAAGCCACTGCTAAATTATAATCCCATTATCCTATTATAATCCTAACCCAACATGCTTTCAGCATGAGCTCTAGGCAAAAAGCAAACTTCTTCTCATGGACTTAGACTCAAATAGATTTAAAAAACATAACTGTTACATAAAACGTCATTATTTTTTTATTTTTAAATACTACTGCAAAAACATGCACATTTTTAAGGTAAGTTATTCTAAATGGACCATCTTCAGGGTTAAAAATTAGAAACTATAATATATTTATAAAGATAAATTTTTTCCTCAAACTTTCTGTAATCTCAAGGTTTACTGAATTCACATATCTGTGAATACCTGTTTTATTTTATACTATGCAACATCTTTTTTAAAAGTAAAAGTTCTGAGTATATGTTCATAAGACAAACCTTTAAGGCTATGGAATAAGTGGTAATGTTCCTTTTTCAGATAGAAATAATCTGGAAACAAACCCAGGTTCAATTTAGAGGTTCTTAAACCAATATAAACAAGCCTTGATTAATCAAATCAGGACACCAGGAGCAGTATTCCAGCCTATTAGTCACTTGACTTTTTACTTGGTCCTCTTATAACAGTGGCTGCAGAATAAAACAGGTAACTCAAACCAGTTAAGTTTTACCTCCTGTTTCAGCTCTGGAGAAGGGTGGGGGAGGGAAGGAGGGAGGGGAGATTTGGATGCAGATTATTTGTAAAATACTAGGTAGTTAATTTGAGCTTTTCCTGTTCTGTATTACCACACATCAAAGTTGACTGTATATATTTCACATACAAAATGAAAACAGATGTGTGAGTATACTAGAAAAACAATACATGCTAACCTAAATATAGTAGATGGGCAATGAATTATCACCCTTCTCTCCCAGCCTCCCACCAAAAAACAATGCTCCCATTCAATGCTAATAATGACATTTGGCATTATAAATTTCAGAACTCTTAAATAAACTACAAGTCTGGTTCAGGAAGATCCTAAAAGACACTATATTATCTGCAGGTGAAAGCTATAAAACTCTAAGAAACGAATCAATAGATTGCGACCAATAGAAAGTGTCTTTGGAATTCTACCTTTGGAAAAAAGAATTAAGACTCCCCACTAAAAACTTCACCTAATAATATTAAACATAAACTTATGAGCGTAATACCCATAGATATCATTTTTCCAACATATAGGACATTGTTTACCTAAGTAAATTAACTTGGCTACAGAATGGGTCCACTGTTAAAACTTTTTCTACCTATATACCTAGGTCATTTGTTGGGGCCTTCCCAGAATCAGTCTCCCCTTTCCCTTTCCCAACAACACTTAGCGTACCTGAAATGTAGATGAATGTGGGAGGATGGTGGTCCACTAAGAGAATCAGGAAAGATTAAATTAAAGGTTCTTGATACCATATTAAGGAATCCTAGCTTTCTCTAAGCAATGATAAATCACTGAAAGATTTCAAAAATAGAAATCACAGGGGCTTCCCTGGTGGCGCAGTGGTTGGGAGTCCGCTTGCCGATGCAGGGGACACGGGTTCGTGCCCCGGTCCAGGGGGATCCCACATGCCGCGGAGAGGCTGGGCCCGTGAGCCATGGCCGCTGAGCCTGCACGTCTGGAGCCTGCGCTCCGCAACGGGAGATGCCACAACAGTGACAGGCCCGCGTACAGCAAAAAAAAAAAAAAAAAAAAAAAAAAAAAAAAAAAAAAAGAAAGAAATCACAGGATTGTATTTCTGAATAATAAAGATCCTGGTGACAGTATTGAAGATGGGGGAGTGAATTGAGATTGGAGGAGGAGCCATCAGTTAGGAAATCATTACAAGTACTTAATTAAAGGGAGACTTTGGGAGGCAATTTGGCAGTAAACAGAAATGCATATACTCAGCAATTTCATTTCTAGATATGAACCCAGAAAAATAATCCTACATAATAATGCACAAAGACATTGCTCTAGAATGTTCACTTTGCTGTTATTTGCAATTTTTTTTTAAAAAGCAAGAACTTCAATGACCACCAATAGGGGAATGAATACAGATGGAATATCATACTACAGTTAAAAGGAATGAATTAGATGTGTATCCTTGTGGCTAGACTTCAAAAGTCAAATGAAAAAAATTAAGTTGAAGAAAAATGTATACTGTAGTACATTATGTATCAAAATCAAAACACATAAAACAGCATGATATATTTTGTTTACCTGCAATGGCTGTATTCCCTGACTGCTCTATGCCAGGCACCGTTCTAAGCACTTTGGACTAACTCATTCCTCATGACGTCCTTATGCTGTAGGCAGTATTATCCCATTCTACAGATAGGGAAACTGAAGCATGGAGTTTAAGGCCTACAGATAGGAAGTGATAGAGCCAGGATTCAAAGCTAGGCAGCCTGGTCCAAAGCAAAAGAAGCAAAGGTGCAAAGATTCATGCCAAATCCCAATGACTACTGATTTTGGAGAAGAGGAATATCAGAGTAGGGGAGTGGAGCCAGAGAGAGGCTTTAGCCACATCTGAAATACTATTTCAAGGACGTATTCAAATACTTTTTAAAGAGGGTTCATTTTTCCCCCATTAAAAAAAAGTGAACATATAAACAAAGTTTGGGGCAAAAGAGTGTCCATCGTGGTTGACTATGGCTGGTGGAAATATGGGGACCGTTCTTACAACTTCTTGGCAGTCTTCTGTTGCGAAAACCAAAAATGTCTCCGGACATCGTCAAATGTCCCCCGGGGGGGCAAAATTGCCCCGGCTGAGCACTACCTTAATTAATAAACCGTAAGACGCTTTACATCTTTTAACTCTATATACCTGTTTTAAAGATGTCAAAGATATAACCTCTGTTAAGTATTTCACCCTCCAAGTGAGAAAGATGCTGCTGAGGTGAAGAAAGTGTCAAGCGAAATAATCCCCGAATAGAGTAAGCACTTGGAATAATCTAGTTATCCTTCCAGATAAGGGTGGGCAGGCCCCGGGT